TTTATAGCCCAAATAATGTGTAAAACACTCGTGTAGAGCAAATACACAGGCCTGATCTATATAAGTATAGACCTTGATTCACAGGTACATAAACTTAATATCGCCTTCACATATGAGCCACACCAATATTCAAATTATCTATACAAGTACACAGTATAGAGTATATAACTTCCTTGAGTAGTATAAACCGTCATCTCAATGTTTTAAATTATCTCGATCCTCTTTATATGTGATAATGTGACAATATTGCACTTTCTAAACAAGACAGCGATGCTTTACAAGTAGACAGTCCATGTATAAAATAAGGTTCTTATTTTATTTTATTATTTTTATTAATCTTTAATGTATGCAAGGTCATAAAAATGTGCTAATATATAACTGATCTGGACGTACTCCTCGATGGTGTTCTTAATAGGTGTACTCACTGTGCAGACTATGTACATTCATGGTTCGTGATAAGCATTAGACCACGATCAAAAGCAAGAGGCCTATACGCGATAAATGTACGTAAGAACTCGTGAGCATTGTGAGGCCTTTGTGGCGGCCCGTGGATGTATATGCATGCTTTTTGTACCTAAGCCGATTAATTGCTGAGCAAACTCACTATAGGTAATGATTAACGTAGGTGGTGGAAAGTTCTAGAATGGCCGTGTTAGGTTGTGAGACCAGTGTGCCAATGCTACTAAATACATCTATCTGCCCCGTGGTATTTGATCATGCTTCTATGAACTTCTGAAAATGACAGTATTTGTTTGGCTGTGAGACCAATACGCCATTATTACTGGATCCGTCTAGTGGTGCTATGGAGTCTAATCCTGCTTCTAAGACGGACATGCTGATTGAAATCTTTAAGTCCGAGACTATGAAGTAACGTTACGCCTCGTTGCAGTCTTTCCCGAGCGGGAGAGCGGATTGCATTTTGAGCTCAAAACTGCATAGTATTTTGCGGGACCCTCATGAGTAGGGTGGTGTTGATCCACTTGCCAATACCTCTTGCGAATCTATTGTCACACTGCTGCTGTTCCTGTTTCCAAGTTCACTAGGCTTTTCTACAGATTAATCTCATCAGATTCCTTCCTGGAATGTTGGCGTGTGACTAGTGTGACCCCATTTCCCAAGAGAATACTAAGTAATGATTGAATACTATCTAGACTCCTATGCTACCGAAGATATTTGAACATTTGGATGTGTTCAGATTATCCAAACACTTGGAGAAGGGTGGATTGTTCTGTCAACTCTTAGTCTGCTTAATGGACAAACTTGGCTATTATGGTGCCGTGCTCTTGAAAGTTGATAGTAGTGTTCAGGGACCCACATTGTTTCTTTTGTATACCTCAGGTTTAATATCTGATGTTAGTTTTGCTGTTCATAGTATTGCTGATGAAATATTGGTCACCAGGGATTCTCACTTGTTTCTTGGTTGAGTTGGCATGACCTTTTTACCCAGTAGAGTTAGGACATATATCATTCACTAATCTAAAAACAAAGGACGGTGTCTTCAGTACAGTATTATATACTGCCATGTACATTTTTTTTTTTTTTAAGAAAAGATGATGGTCAGATATATTTTCATCAGATTCAACACCAAGTGGATGTACAGAAGTTGCTGCAATTGCCTCTGCAGCTCCAAATACTGTTCAACATAATGGCTACGTATGACATACACCACATTAGGTTTATGGCCTTACGCTGGATGGCTGTCTCCGTTCCTGCTGTCATCAGACTGTTCGATAAAGTTGAAATATATATTTTTTTCTTTATTTTTCACACGCACACGCACGCACGCACCCACCCACACACATAAATATTTCCTTAAACTTACTTCGATGGTGCGAGTAACTGGTCCGGATCCATTCAAGACTCGTGATTTATGATTTATGATAACCGTACGAGAGATAAAAACTGTAACTTTTAACATTTGTTGTTGAAGATCATGGTCTATATTCAATCACATACTTACAACAGACGCCATACCCTGGCCCCGTCGTCCCCTTGCATTAGATAATATCGGGTAAAGTTATAATTTGAGAATACTTCACAATACATACGCGATCACAACTACGTTCTATCATTGCGGTATTATGTGAAAGATTCTTTGTTTTTCCCAGGGTGAAGGGGCATGGGGAAGGTTTCTGCGGCAAAATCCTTACATACATGAGTATTATAAGGTGAGAGGAATCCATCGACACCGGTATCTAGCGAACATTTAGCCCTTTAGCGAAGAGACATTAGCAAAGTACACAATAATGCTCACTGTGATTATTGACTTTAATGACAAAAAAATAACGACAGTGATAAAAAATACTAAGAACAAAAAGTAGAAAACAAGTAAAACAAAATATAAATATAAGAACGGCCACGTTAACATTCTGAGAATAAGTTGTTACAGTTAATAAACTGAATATTCATTATGATTTTATTCTTAAACATTAAAGGCAAATGCTGTATATACAATGCTCTCTTTATTTACTTTTAATTCAGTGGCAAATATTTTTCGAGTCGGGCAAGTACTGCATTATAATGAGAACGCACTTTGAATCTTCACCATTCCTACACGCCATGCCAAACGATTTTCATATTTTTTACTATTACTGTTACTACTACTACTACTACTACTATTACTACTATTATTGCTATTGCTGTTGCAGTTAGTAAAACTGCTACTACTATTACCGCTACTAGTTTGGTAGTTAGCTACTTATACTTATCAAGTGAAAATTTTACTAAATAATTTCATATTTCAACTTTCTGTAAAGAATAATAATGTAGTACTATGAATTATTAGCCCGTGTTAATAACAATGGACTTCTTAAAAAAAATGTTCAGAGTAGTGTTTTTGTAGACAACAAAATTATTGGATGACTCAGTCAGACGTCCCCAAAACGGTAATATTCCAGTTTAAGGATGGAGTTTACAGCCAAAGTTTCAAGGATGAAAAACTGACCATAATTCTAAAATAATATTATTTCGAGTTAAAAGATTCCTATATTTTTTAAGACAGATGAAAGAATGAAGAAATTGATAATTAGAAAAGTATTTAGAGCCAAGAAGAGATAGATGTCAATCGATAATTAGAAAAGTATTTAGAGCCAATCGTCCTATATCACGCATGTTGCATGGTAAAGGATGCTGTTCTAAGTTTGTACTGAATTGAACCTAGAATAAGATCATAGGGCTTTTCACCCATAGGCCTGTCCACACAATCGGGCATGATCGGGAGGGGGGGGATGTAAAGGTGACGTCACAGGCGAGAAAACGAGGAAACTACTTGTTTAAAGAACACTAACGTCATTATATGGGGGCGCGGTGGATGAGTGGTTAGAGCATTGGACTCAGAAAAGTCACGACAATTTGAGTTCGAGAGTTCGAGTCCCGGTCGGCGCGTTGTTCCCTTAGGCAAGGAACTTCACCTCAATTGCCTGATGGTATGGATGGATGTGTGAATGTGAGTAATAAAAGTCAATGGAGCAAATGAGGGAAAGAGAGATGGTGAACTCTTCAATTACCCGAAGGAAGGCAACTGTAAACCACCTTCGTACACTCCCTTGTTCAACCATGAAATTAAACATGATCGCCAACGTCAGGCTCTGATACGGCACAAAAAAACCGTCATTATTATTCGTGGCCTCCAATCATGACCGGCCTTCACACTCACCTTGGCAGGATTCCGTCTATAGTAGTCGGCTTTATCAAATCATCCCATTCGATTTCCAGTTTTAAACCTCTTTCTTACTGACGCAGGTGCTTTTTGTTGCTCTTTTCTACAGATGTTATTTCTGGCCATTATTAGTCCGCGGAAAACTCGTCCAGCAATCTTTATGCCTTCAGATCTTGCGTTGAGAACTCCTTTTTCCTTTCGACTTCCAGACTGCAACTCTCCCTGTCCACGTCTTCTCTCAGAACAATCTCCCCTTACTCAAAAGGCATATGCACTCGAACTTCGTTTTGATGAATATATGGGTAAAAGGCATTGGTACAATATTATCTGTAGTTACCAACACAATCCTGGCGAGAGAAAGGGCCAGATTTTGTCCGTTGCTTCTGATGCCCGTTGAAAGTATGACAATTTCATTTCCTAAATCCCTAATGCCACAGATTCGATTGGGGCATTTAATATCAGTTCCGTACCAGTCAAAGAGAAAAAGTGTGTGTGTGTGTCTGTATATGTATAGTATATGTATATATATACATATATGTATATGTATATGTATATATATGTACACACACACACACACACACACACACACACACACACACACACACACACACACACACACACACACACACACACACACACACACACACACACACACACACTCACACTCACACTTGTGTGTATGCATGTGTGTTTATGTCCACATGTGTTTTATATGTGTCTGTGTGTGTTTTGTATGTGATTATGTGTGTGTTTTTACATGCTTGTGATTATGTGTGTGTTTTTACATGCTTGTGTTTATGTGTTTGCATGTACACATACTTGTCTTTTACAAGTTGCCATTGACAGCACACCAAATCCCAGTGATGTGTCTTTTCTGACTTTCTAATTCCTGTTCATAAAATGTTTTTTTATAACAATTCATTTTTTAGACTATATATTTTCTTCCTCTATTTATAATTAGAAAGATAGGAATATATGGAGCTATTTAACATTATTTCTAGAAAATAATGTTTTTTATTCATAAAATGAAATTCCAAAGTATAATACATTCTAACAGTACATATATTCATATTCTTTTGAACTGTATAATTTTTTTTTAAGGCATAATGGTAGTCTGCCAAATTTTATATCCCATTTTTTCTTAACTTTTCTTCTCTTATACAAAGAAGAATTCTCAAACATCATTTAACTTGAACAGAAAAAAAGGATCAATGTTATATCTTTACACATATTATATCCACTTGCCATTATAATCAAAATGTGCATCAGTTTGCAAGATGAACATGTATTTTGCAATGAATGATGTGAAGTGTAGACATTGAGGATAATAAAACATTCACAATGAAAAACTAAGCATGGTCTATTTAATCATTACTTACAGGTGATTGTCCATCAGAAATAGTTTTAAGGCTCATCATAACGACTGGGAAATGCAAAATGTCATCTATTAATATACAAGTATTAAAAACACTTATAACTAAGATTTCATTAAATATATCAACAAAGTTGCTATATACAGGGCAGTGCTCTATAAGTTGTATGGCTAATATTTTTATCATTTTTAAAATGTTTAAATCAAGCGTAAATCATCATTTCTGAACTCATTTTGCTTGACCTTAACATGACCCAACTCCAAAGAGATGCATTTTTTCCTTTTTTCCTTTTTTTTTGTTTTTTTGTCGTTTTTTTTTTTGCTTATTTTACGATGTAGCTAAAAATTATTTCTAAAAGCAGGCTTCTGCTGTACAGTATTCACAGATTAAAACTCTGTAAAATAAAGTATCCAGAACGATAGCCATTAAAAAATGGAGGGGGGTCAAAAATATCATAATATAATAATTACTCTGGTGACAATGGTGAGCACTAAACATTTTAAATAAAACATGATGGTTGTGAAGGCCATGTCTGATAGGACTTTACTCTGAAAGGGTGTGAAGGGCTAGAAAATCTGAGAGAAAAAAATTATCATTAATATTAGCAAAAAAAAAAAAAGAAAAAGAAAAAAAGAAAAAAAGAAAAAAGTAACACTGATTTTGCACTATTTACAGCTTAAGCAGGATTGATCACAAGCATGATACATTAATTACAAGTATGATATAGAAATTCAGAATATTAAAACTAATATAGAAAAGATCTGGACTCTACTGCAGATATTCGTGTTTTCCTCATCAAGATTGAAAATGAGTTGAGAGATCAAAATGTTATCAGGTAAAAGACAATCGTAAAATTTATCATCCTCTGGGTAAGGTTGAAGATACTCTTCCATTTTAAGCTTATTTCAACATATTTGGCAAAAAGTAAATGTAAATGAATAAGTATTTATATTTATATATATATATATATATATATATATATATATATATATATATATATATATATATATATATATATATATATATATATATATATATATATAACAAAGTTAATTAAAAGCTTGCTTTACAGTAACTTAGAGATCATTCAAAGGAAAGATTTGGAAGTTTTGGTATTCATCAATCAGTCAGTTGTTTAAAAATATAAAGACAATGATACAAAAAACTTATTAATGAAAAAAATTATATAATAATGACAAATAAACAAGAATTTCCATCTGTTTATTTTGATATATCAACTACTTTGATGAAGAGTACATATGTAGAGGCTTGAGCTAGCACATAGGTAGGCATGTATGATCCAGTTATAGGTATTGTTGCCGTGGACGACCTGTTTTGACCTTAACCTGGGGGTTGGTTGGGGTGGAGCCTCTCATTTGTGCTGGCATGTCACGGGGACCAGCCGGCTTCTTTGGTATGGGGTTTGGGTATTCTGGAGGAGAGAGGAAATTCTGTAAATGCTTCTTATTACTGAGCTTGGTATATTCGTCCACATTATTTTATACGTATGTTTATGTATATGTTAACAAGTACATAAATTCATATGTATATAACTACTATTCTGGTGATTAAAAGATACAAGTTAATAAATATAACAAAGTGATAATCATTCAAATACAGAACATAATATGCACAATTTACTTACTGTAATCTTGTACCACTTGTGAGAAGGCAGTGATGGTGGGGCCAGAGCTGGCACTTTTCTGGATGTTTCTGGTGCCAGTGCCAGGTGAGTTTACGAAATTCCCACTTGGCGATTCATTGGGATGGCCCTCAGCACCTCCTCCATTATCACCCTCAATCTTATCCCCACGTGGACTCAAATACGACTTGAAATTGGCAGCTACAGATTTGGGGTTGAATTTTAATCTTTCAAATGCCTTCACTAAGGGTTTTGGTGAGGTCGGTGACGAAACTGCAGTGCTATCTTTCTGTTCTTTTACTCCTTTCATGTTGTCCTTTTCCACGTCCTTCTCTTCCTTCATTTCTCTTGGAGTGTAGAAATGAGAGCTTGTAGCTTTAGGAGACGAAGGGACTTGTGGAATTGCCTGCTTGTTTGAATTAGAACGCCACTTCTTGAAGATATTTGGGGCAGAGAATTTGTGAAAAATCCCCTCGTCGTCCGAGCTCTCAGAACTGCTCTCACTGACTACTACATCCTCAGCCCTGTTCTGCCCAACCACAGTCTGTTTATTCTGATCAGATGATGGAGAATTTTTCTGGTCTTGTACAGTCTCTACCAAGGGTTTAGGTGATCTGTGATGATGTTCTAGCGGCACAGAATTCTGACTCTGTGGTTTCTTCGAAGACTGTGGCACGGGAGGCGACTGGTACGGCGATATCGACAGGGGCTGAGTTGACGGCTGCTGTGGATGCTGGTGCTGTTGTATCAGGGAAGGCTGTTGGAGCACAGGTTTGGGAGGTGGCGGCTGAAGGTACGGAGAGTGAGTGTGGCTGAGAGGTAGGTGGTGGGGGCTGGGAGCGTGGTTGTGGGGAGGCGGTGGCGGTGGATCGGAGTATTGGTACGCTGCTGCTGTTTTGGCTGGCACTGCGGGTGGAGGCTCATCATCACCAAGGGGCCAGCTCTGTCAGAAACAAGAGAGTGATCAGCTCCAACAATAACATCCATCCATCAGACTCAAGTCATGGCTGAAAAACAAAATTAAAACATTCATACAAGAGTACATATTGCATTTTCCATTATTTCTCAAAATTTCACAAAAAATCAAGGCTGGAAAAAGGTTTCTCTAAAAAAAAAAGTAAAAGTATTCTTCAAAAATGTTAAACAAAGCAAACTAAATAAAAAAAAACTACAGACAAACATCTGTATATGCTACATTATGTAAAGCCAAAAAAAAAAAAAAAAATTCTGGTATTTATATATCTTAAAAGAAATGGCAAAGCTTAATCTTTGTAAGATGGTATAAAAAATATAAACAGTATAAACATCAACACTTCTCCTGTTTTAGACCTCTATTGAATTGCACAGAAGCAAAGAGCAAGACATTCAACTTCCTTTTACATTATGTATATGTATATCTGTATATAGTACATACATACATATATATACACATACATATATATACATATGTATATACATATATATATATATATATATATATACATACATACATATATATACACATATACATATATATACATATGTATATACATATATATATATATATATATATATATATATATATATATATATATATATATATATATATATATATACATACATATATATACACATATATATACATACATATATATACACATTTATATACATACATATATATACACATTTATATACATACATATATATATATATACATATATGTGTAAACATATACACAATCAAACAAACACAAACACACACACACAAACACACACACACACACACACACACACACACACACACACACACACACACACACACACACACACACACACACACACACACACACACACACACACACACACACAATCATGCACACAAGCATGCACACACGCACACACTCATGCACACACACAAACAAACAAACAAATAAACACGCACACACACATACACACACACACACACACGCACATTAAGTAATTTAGTTAGAATAGAAAATGGAAACCGACTTACTCTGATCATAAAAGGGAACACTTTTTTTATACAAGTACATGTTACTAATAAGGAATGGCATTCATATAGACAAATATATAAAGTCATGAACTATACGGACAAAATAAAACACATCAGATAAACACACATGGGATGTTAATCTGAACACATGGTACATGGTTCCCAATCATGCAACTAAATAGATGCTTTCTGGGCTGTTTGTCTGTTACATGATAAGCATATTTTTATCTATGAGTAAATTTTTAAAGCTGAATATTTTCTTATGCTCAGGTTCTACATCATGTACACATATGCTGAAAAAAAAAAAAATGAACACAGATACACGCTCACACACGCTCTCTCTAAAGAATAATGCAAGCAAATATAATGCTTATATTTACAACATCTATCGTATTCTAGCCTAACAGATCAACTGCACAAATATTTTCAAATGGTCACCAGTCAGTACCTTGATGCATAAAAAGTATATAAAAGAAAATCTCAACCCACGTCATGATTAACTTTGTAATATAATGCTGAATTCAAGATAATTCTTTGTCTTTGAAGCAAAATAACATTTTATCCTTTGGATAAAACAGCAACCTATCAATCTGTTAAATCACGTCATGTAACATACTTGTGTTTCCTATCGCATATCATTAAGACGGCATTCTTATTCATGAGATACAACCTGACCAGCTCTCTTTCTCTATCAAATTCCTAACCATAAGCAGCAGCAGCATTACCCTTTACAGCTGCAAAAGGAAAGCTGTAAACACTTGTCATTGTCTAAGAATTACTGAATGATATATCCATATAGATTATTAATTATCAACTAATCTCCCCAATGACCTAATGATCACTGAGATGCTAAGTTAAGCATCCTATCTAGTATCTAAACATCTATTTATTACTGTCTTTCATAATTTTGTTTTCCATCTGCTGTCTCCATAGATAGAAAATGCCATTTCTAAAACAAATGACTTAATTTTTGGCCAAGCCACTCTATCACAGACAGACTCACAAGATATAACACTAAGGAAGGGGAAAAGGAGCCAAAGTAGCAGAGAAGTATAAAATGCCAGCATAAAATATTTACAGTACCATAATGGCACAGCTTTAATAATTAATTATCATTTTTCCCACATACTAAATTATTTACCTGATCTGATTTTATTGCAAAATGTCATTTTTACTTCTATTTCTCTGTTATTAACCACTCACTTATTCATCAGAGTCTAAAAGGGGTTAATGACCAATTTATTTCTTGACGTATAGAAGAAACAAATCATTTTTTTGTTTATAAAACAATAAAGGACTTTTAGAGTTAAAAAAAACGTGCTTAGACCTATCAATAAATATATACACAGAATCACAAACACTAAAGTTCAAAACTGACGGAGGGTTATTAGTTTGCCATCACACAACACACAACAGTAATCCTACAGAGCTGGCTGGCTGGCACGAGTGTACTCATGTTGTAATGATGAAGCTGGATATGCTAGCCAGCGCCAGCCAGACATCTTAACCACGACTAGAAGAAGTGATACTTCAGCCCTTCCTGCACAGAACAAGAGAATTTGTATTTTCACCCACTTCACAAACTACTGTGAAGAGAAAGCCTTTAGCATTGGCTGATGCTGAGACAGAATGGAAAAGATTTTGCTTTTACTTTATGTGTAACAGTCAATTTACACATACACACACACGGTAAATATATAAATTCAAATATATCAAACGGAAAAAAAAATGAAGACTCTTATCCTGACAGCTTCCTGTGTCAGGAAAACAGAGATAAAAATATACCAACATTTCAAAAGATAACAATGAATCTGAAATATCACTTAAATTATTATAGTAAAAGTAATAAGTATGATCATGCAAGTTTTTGTTCTAATGTCAATTCCTAATTTTAAATCTGAACCCTGTTTAAGAAAACTGATAAAAGTACTCTACCTGTTTAGCTGTTATCATGGTCTGGCGGTAGTTTTCAGGACCATCTGTTGAGCCTGGAAGGGAAAAATGAGTTACTGTAAACAAAGAGATACACCCTATGTAATTACAAGACTTGTATCACTGTGAATTCAAATTCAAATTATCTCTTGTTCAGAAATAATAGTTCTTCTCTCTTTACTCCATCTATCCATGGATTTATTATACAAAATAAATGTTGTATAATAAATGTATAATGACTATATATAATGTATAATGACTCCATATTTATAGTATTAATGAACATAATTAAAATTTTACAAAACAAGTACATAAAGGCAACAATCTTACAATGGTAGTGGTGGGTAATGGGGGGTGGTGGTGGTAATGATGTTCATGACCATGATGATTAATGGAAATGAATATGATAATGATGATTAATGGAAATGAAAATGATAAATGGAAATGAAAATGGAAATGGAAATGAAAATGATAATGATGATCAATGGAAATGAAAATGATAAATGGAAATGAAAATGGAAATGGAAATGAAAATGGAATGAAATGGAAAATGAAAATGATAAGATGAAAAAAAGTTTCAATGGAATGATATGATCATATGATTAATGGAAAGGAATATGATAATGATTATAAATGTAAATTGAAAATGATATGGATTATCAATGGAAATGAATATGAAATCAATATCAATGGAAATGATATGTGTTACGCTTATTAATTGAGCTGAAAATGATAATAATCATGTCAATGACAATGACAAAAAA